ATATATATATATATATATATATATATATATATATATATATATATAATCTTCTTTTTTATTTATTTATTTTTGAAAGGTCAGTCCATAAAGTTCACACAGGTCATCAAGTTAATCGGGTTTGCAAACTAAATTATCTTAAAATAAAATATCCTAATACATTTTCTTTTATTTTAAAGTGTATATTTGACCATTTAATCATCATAAATGGCACTTGTTTTGATATTCAGTTATAGGTTTTAAATAGTTTTTCTTTTTTTTTTTGGTGGCACAACTGTTCTAATTCTTCTCAATACACAATTATTCGTTGGCGCCAGTGGTGTAGTGGTTAGTGCGTTGACACATGTACTCCGGTGCTCGCTGCGAAGTTCGATTCCGCCCTGCTGGCCTATGCCGATTCTTCCCCTCTCTCTCTGCTCCCCATGCATTCCTGTCAACTCTCTCTATCCAATAAAGGTGAAAAAAATAAAAAATACACAGATATTCTACATATCAAAACTTCAAACCAGGGCCTGGAATAATTAACCATTAAATAAACAAAGAAATAAATGACTGAATTGTTTGAAAAGTCAGCAAATGCCACCACATAAAATGATTAACCAAGTTCAAAAATTGAGATTAAACTGATCGATAAGTTGATGCTACTGGAATTATGATACCCTAGTTTCCTCCACATTTGTAGAACAAAACATTTTAACATTTAGAAATTGATGTTGTTGTTATTTGAAAATGCTGTGCTGTGCCCTGTAATTACTGTTTTCTAAGAACAGGTTTGTTTTCACCGTCATTTTCACTGCATGTTTCATAGCATTTACGTCATTGTGTCTGTGTGCTTTATAGATTTGGTTGTCACTGAGAAAGTGCTGTCGTATTTTTTGTTGTTTGTTTACCTAAGGATGCAGATCCTCTAACTATTGTTAGTTTAATGGTTAGAGCACTTGGTTTATGATGTATATACTTCCACATTGACACATGGACCATAAATGAGATGATCAGGAAATACACATTTTTTATAAGCAAACTAAAATAAAATAAAAATGTCCACAGCAATAATAAGCCGTAGTCCAGAATCGGAAGCTTCCAATGTCTTAAGCAACTAGAAGATCAGCTCAAATTTGTTACGTAACTCTGAGAGGCCCAAAATCAAAACACAAAAAGCCTGTAAGCCTCGCCATGAATAGTGAGGTTTATTTGCATGCTGGTTTGGTTACTCCAACAGAGCTGGTGTCTAGTTGCCAGTGCTACTAGTGCAGTTGTGTTTGCATTTTTATACAGGAAGTCTCCAAATTATTTTCCCTCTACAATGTTCATTTTTAAAAAGCCATTTCTATGTAGTACTTATTAAAACAGCTAATGTAAACCAGTACACTGACATACAATAAAGTAATCACTCAGCCAAAATATGTGTCCAAATCAACTGTGAGTGTGTGATATCAGTACAAGGGGCGTGACTGTTTATTTCAACAGAGGCGCAAATTCAGGATGACGAAGCTAAAAATATTTAGTGCCGCTAAAACCATTAATGTAACTATTGGCAAAACCCAAGCACACACACTGTATGTTTCGTGTGGAGGGCTAGGTCAAGTCTACATCTGTTTGATCAGGTTTATGGAGTTACTACAGGTATGCATTGTGTAACTTGGCATGTCTGCATTGTAATATAGGGTAAAGGCAGGAATCTGAAGTGGAATTTTTCATAGCCAAACCTACGCCCTCCCCTCGAGTCAGACGTAAGATAAATCTTCCATATTTAAAGGGTTCATCTTTCTTAAAGGGACACAGCCATTCTCCATGTGTCTCAGCTGTGCTTGCTAGTAGCACTAATGTTTCAGCAGCAGGAAGGATGTAGTTAACTTTTTGGGGAAACTGAACCGGCTGAGCCAAGGCTACTGTATATTGCCTTTTCGCTTGTGTGGCCGCTATTGCCATGGTCCCTTGTGTGAGTTTGACTGCAAATTTTTTCAGGGTTTAAAAAATGACTTAATGAATATTTAAATGCCGGCTTGCTGGAGCTTGTGTGTTTGTGTTTATTTGGCCTCGTGTTTCAGGGCTGGTTAAACTGCATAGTTTGTGAACTCCATGAACTGTAGTTTCCATACACCAACATGAAGGTGTGACCACTTCCCGCCCCTTTAAGCCCTTGCCTCTTGGTCAAAAGCGTGTACACACGTGAGCAGGCAAATGAGTGTACACATCCAAAACTGGTATCTTTCACATCGTGGACAGTCTGTTTATAACAGAGGAATGCAAGCTCTGAAAAATGTTCACAATGGAGATCTGTTTACAGTCTCTTACAGCATGCTAAATGCTAGCTGAAAAAAGAACAGCTTGACATTTAAAGTTACTTCTTAAGAGTGGGATGAGTGGATCGACAACCCAGAGATGGTTTTCTGAGTTAAACTGCTATATAATTAAACTCTAATTAGGAAAATCTGTTTGTATACTGATTTTGCCGAAATAAATAAAAAAGATGTAGAAACCGACTGCTGTTTTATACAAGTTTGAGTAAAGTTTACTTAAAGAGTGCTTGAGTCTCTGTGTGGTTTATGTACTAATTATGCAATGGCACTAAGTTCGTCATCAGACGTTCATGTTTGTAAAGCTGTCAAAGACTTGACTTACTTGTAAAGTGGCTCTTTAAACCGTGACCCAAACAGCAAGGGTTCAGTTTAATGCTGCCTCAGTGTTGAGGAGGGGTAATAATGTACATGTAAATGTCCATACTGTCGGTGTGAAATACACTAATCTAGTATTATGATGGAGAAGAGTGTTTACAAATCGTTCTTTATAGGGCTACAAACTACAAATAATTCTTTACAAATCATTCAGAAGACTTTCTTCATACAGTAGTCATTCTCAAGGGACAATAAAACTTATTATGATTTGATTTGATTTGAAGGTCACAGTAGTCCGCAATAGCATCCTTGTTCTGTTGTCATTTTACCCAAACTTGGGTAGATTGTATTAAATATAAATACATTTAAATAGTAAATTATTTGACGCCTCTCATGAACGTCATAAGCTATGTTTTTATCCAAAAATGCCAATTAAATTTATGCACAAAACTGGAATATCGCTTAAAAGACGTGCAAATAAAGAAGCATTTTCATTCAACAAGTCAAAGAGAACAAAATTGTCTCTTCCTGATTAACTGGCACAAAATATCAACAGTAAAAACGGAATTTGCTGTGGTGGGAGAAGCTGTGTGAATCTTTTCCTTAATACATGACTTGCATTCCAGAAGATGATGCCGACACGCAATGAACACGTAGTGGTGTTTAAAGAAGTTTAAAACAAATAGGTGGGTGGAAACATAGCTATTGAGATATTACAAAGAAAAAGCTATTAAATTTATTAGTTTTTTTTAATCAAATTTATTAATATAAAATCAGTTGGCACCAATAGCCTAGTGGTTACACATGGTACTATGATGTTCACGGTGTCCTGAGTTGGATTTCCAGCTCGAGGTCCTTTGCTAATTTTTCTTCTCTGGCCTCTCCCCACACTTTCCTTTCTTTAATCTCCAGTGTGCTATAAAATTAAGGGTAAAAATGGCTAAAAAATAATTATAATAAAAAGAAAAATCATTGGTTCCTAAAGACTTTACATTGTGACATTTTTTTATATAGGGAATCCTTCATGATAATAATATTATAATTAGTAGGTAACATTGTAATAAGGAATTGTATTCTTATTAATATGCTTATTATTATAAAAATGATGTTTTACTCTTTTTTTTTTTGGTTATGTAAAATTCTCATTATTCTTATTGAATGATTTAGTTAATATTGAGGTTGTATATTATTATATAAGATGATTCCTTTACTATATAATGCTGCAATCCAGTAATATTAACCCAATGTACTAATCAAACAAGCTTTCAGTTCCTCTTATGTGTTGCAGACAGATTTCATCATTTCTTTATTTTGTCCTGTCACTATTACACCAGACAGTCCAAATGTACTTCAGCTTATGTTTTTATTTAATTTTTTTTCTCTTTGTTTGGAATGAGGAAGGTGATTCATATTTTAAGCACTTCCCTGAGGGCTATTGAAATATATCTCAAACCATCAGAAAAATGACAGGAACTCATCTTTTCGCGTGAATACTTTCTATTGTATTGAAAGAGAAGGAAATGCTTGTCATATTGCGCAAACAATAATCTTTAATATCCCTCCAGGAAAGGGGGTGATGCGGAAATTTGCGAACAATAGCACAGCCTTTAACACAACATGAGATTTTATTTATTTTTAATTATATTTATGTGTATTTTAAAGTATGTGTTATGCTTTGTTTGACCCTTTACTGTTAGCACTTTCTATAGGTTGTAAAGTGCATTATAAATAAAATTAAATAGAAAATTGAACAACAGAATTAATTTGGTAATACTGAACACTGTTATTTATATTATTAATTATTATATATTATTATTATAATACATATCTATAATTTTGTCTTTTTTTACCTTTCAAAATATTTTTTTCATGAACTCCAGAAGTTTGTTGTCATCATAGCCTAGGCGTTATTACATGTTTGTTAAAAAAAGTGGAGTTGTCTTTCATTTAAGAGGAAGGACAGAATTAAAACCAGCTCTGCAACCACCATAGCAATCATTAGATTGCCAAATAGTAGGTCACCACACCTCTTTTTTCTAAAATTTATAAAAAAAGTTTATTAAATGTTTGGATTTGTACTTCTTTTTCTACCTATCAACCTATCAAAAAATATCCTTCTCAAACTTGGTTTACAGAAGTTTGTTGAGTTGTGCTGCTGTCGTTTATTTTCGAGGAAGGACAGAATTAAAACCAGCTCTGCAACTCCCGTGACAATCATCAGAATCTCAAACAATAGGTCACCACACCTCTGAGAATAGTTATGTTTAATACAGTCATGTCAGGCCAGTCACTGCTAGAGTAATAGCGCTGTATTAGACGATAATAGTTTCAAAAGTGTCATTGTGTGGCCAAAAAATGGCTCAATCTGTTTTATTTTTCCCTCAACAGCAATTGACCTTGCCGTTGATGCTTGCTGTGGGGACGGCTGTAATCGGCTCCCTTCAGTTTGGCTACAACACCGGTGTCATCAACGCTCCACAAAAGGTGAGTTTAAAGTACATACTCGCACACGCACAAAGTCCGAGTGACAAATTTTTACAGTTCACCCCGACTGACATCCCAGGTGTGTCCTTGGACTTTAACATTATCGGAACGTTGGCCTCTCACTCATTCATTATATACTGCTGCAGCTGTCTCCAAATCCCTGTCTGTCAGTAAACACACACACACATACACACACACAGACACACACTCCAATGTAACACAATTCCAGAAGGACCGAAGACTTACAGCTCCACAGGGAGATTTAGTCTCGTCTCTCATCAACATATTATTAACTCAATTTGCATGTTAAATAATAAGTTACTATAAATAAAGCATATTATCTGTTCTGGAACATGGTGTAAAGTCATCACACACATAGCACTGCTTGTTCAGACCTGCATGTTGAACTAGGGGCCAGGCTTTGCCTATGTGAATTGAACATTTCTAGCTTTTAGTATATGGCTTGTATGTTCTTTTTCTCTCTTGGGAAACGAGCGCAGGATTTGACTTACCAATACTGACCTTAAGGAGAAACATTTGCAACTGCTAGATCTATAGCCCTCCTGAATTATTAGCCCCCGTATCTATTTTTATCTGTTTAATGGATAGATTTTTTCATCAAATTTCTAAACATAATAGTTTTAATAATTCATTTTTAATAACTGATTTCTTTTATCTTTGCCATGATGACAGTAAATAATATTTGACTAGATATTTTTCATGAATGCACTAGTCTGCAGCTTATAGTGACATTTAAAGGCTTAATTAGTTTAACTTGGCAAATCATTGTATAATGATGATTTGTTCTGTAGACAATCGAAAACAAATATTGTTTTTGGGAGCTAATAATATTGACCTTAAAATGTTAGTAAAACTGCTAATTAAAACTCCTTTTATTCTAGCCGAAAAAAAACTAATAAGAAAAATATTATAGGAAATATTGTGAAAATTTCCTTGCTGTAATCATTTAGGAAATATATAAAATAATAATAATTCACAGTAGGGCCAACATTTTTGACTTCAACTGTATATATATATCCAGCATTACAGATGTGGCATTTAGAATAATTACAGCAAAAATGTTTCAGTAAAATTAATAAACCTTTTACAATATTAAAATTGGAAATGTTTATTTTTCTTAACATTCTCGAAGCAAGAATTTAATTTATTGTAATGTATGTATTTAAGCCCTACCTATCCCCCTTAATATGCAAAGAGGCATGCAATATGAATGTAACTGTATAACTGTTAGATGCTGATATCCCCATGATGAGCATTAAAATGTCTGTGTTGAAAAGATTGAATATTTTTATGAAGAGCATTTTGAGGGAAAACCAAGGCCATAACCAGACCATAACAGTACTTGTGTTGACTTTTATGGAAGTTAAATTAGTCTGACATTAAGGAAAAACATCTAAAAAGAAAGATAGTCTAAAAGATAGGCCAACAAATAGATAGACAGACACATTGATAGACAGATGGGTAGGTAGGTAGACAGACACATTGATTTATGTTAGTTAGTTAGTTAGTTAGTTAGTTAGTTAGTTAGTTAGTTAGTTAGTTAGTTAGTTAGTTAGTTAGTTAGTTAGTTAGTTAGTTAGTTAGTTAGTTAGTTCGTTCGTTCGTTCGTTCGTTTGTTTAATTTCTTTCCCTATATCGCGTGTGGAGTCACAAGACCCCGTTCTGTTTATACTTCTGTGTCAAGGGCAAGCTTATGGTCTAGTGCAGCCTTCATGCGGTCTATACCCCTCACCGTTGCTGATGCCTACACTTACAAAACCTCAAAAAAAAGGCATGCAGTTAAGGCTAATTTATACTTCTGCATCCACTTTGAAACCACATTTGGTCTCTAGTCAAGCCTTACTTTGCACTACACTGACAATGATTGAAAGCTGCGCCAGATATGCTTTGAGTTGACTTATTTTACATTACATTGAAATTCTTATTTACATTAAATTTGTTTACAGAAGATGCAAAAAATGCACTGTTATATTATAATGTTATAAAATAAAATATTATTTACAGGATATACAAGAGTTTTTTTTTTTTTTTTTTTTTTTAGAAAAGATACTGCTTACTTTCTACTTTTACTATGAAAAACATTAATTTTGCTTCCAAAAGTAAGTGAGAACTTTTACTGTACAAAACTTGTTCGTGAACTGTGAGAGCAAAAAAGTAAATAATCATTCATTAATCAAATTGTATCAAAATGTTCAGTTAATCGAGATTTTGATTTTAGGCCAAATCGCCCAGTCCTATAGATAGATAGATAATAAATAATAAATAAAAAGCTTTTTGACTTGATTGACTTTTGACTTGACTTGAAAAGATTCTGAATATTTTAAGATGGCCACCAAAATCCAAAATATAAGTTTTTATGCCCACAAAGTCTGCATTAGACAGTTGGCAGGACTGACATCCTGCCCTACTAATGATTCTCTCTTCGTATAACCATATATATATATATATGGCTATTACAAATCCATAATACACTGTGATTTAGCCTGGCTCATTATTTTGTTAGATCACATTGCTTTCTCACTACAATCGGTCTTATCCGTTTGAATCAAGCTGAGACCACCTCATTCAGGTGATTTGATTTGGCTTGGATCAGAGTGCGATTGCAGGATTCACATAAGCTAGACGAACCACGCTAATGGGACAAAGAACACCAAGTTTCGAAACAGACATCTAGGTGTGAAAGCACTTTTATTGTGCTCAAAAGCTAATGTCAAGACCATATCAACTTTTTTTATTTGTTATACATGATAACATGTCAGTCTTAGAAAGACCACAAAATTAATAGTCAATTTTATGTGATGCCTAAATAGTTTTTTGCATTACATTTTAAAAATGGATTTTATTTTTTGTTTCAGGTAAAACTATTGTACCAATTGCCATTTCTCTGCCTACACTCCAAAAATGCCTTATCTGCTTGTTTAAACTACTAGTGACAACCTAATTATGTTGAATCCACCTAAATTTGTAAAAACTAGTAAGTTAACTTTGTTTATTTGTGTGGAATTGTGTGAACCCAGCATTTCTTACAGTGTATTGACTTATAACTGAATTTGATTATAAGCGCATACAAAGAGCTTTACCTACTGAAATGCCTTTATTCTCAGCATATACTGGCCTCTGGCAATGAACGCCGTGTTTGCTTTTACTGTTTGTGTTTCTGACAGTTGTAACAATAGTTTTCGCATGTGAGATAAGGCTGTGAGGCCACGGTAGGAGTACCATGTGGGGGGTGTGAGTCTGACGCAGACCCTCTCTATTAATAATCACTTCGATAAGATTACTGCACACTCAAGGGCTCCTTACTGAAACTGCACTCACAAATCACCAAAACTATACTCCGTTATCTAGCCTGAAAGTCCTCCATCAATGGACGGTATTATTTGCGAGCAGGTGGATCTTTGCTGCGCTCCACAATTCAGGAGGTTTACACAGATAAACAACCATTACACATTAGTCAGCTTTTTAAAATGAACACAAATGCCTTTATTTATTCACATTCACGTCATTCCACTTTTATTATTTGACTCTTTTATAACGCATTAACAGGCAGCTGTGGGCACCATATTTATTGAATGGTTTATTTTCACATTTTTGTCTTTCAGCTGTTTAAGACTCAGTTTAGCTCTTTAGGTGCAAACTAAAAATAACATTTGGCCTAAATTGTATGCTCATGAAAAACCGGTTTACTTTCATAGTGAATTCAATAGCTGTCTAGTATCATTTCCTTGCACAGTGATTCTATTAAAACACCCACAGCTCTGTAGAACAGGTTTGTTTAATGAGGAGTGGAGATGTGAAGCACATGACTGATATTTAGTCGACGCTGGCGCACCGAAGAGTTTGCACATGCCTAAAGTGTCAGATAGTCCAAGCTGAGAGAAGACAGACAGGAAGTAGTCATAAAAATATGGCTCTGACCTTAGTACGTCAAGAGATCATACAAAAGACGCTCGGCTGTTATTGGCTTTCAGTGAAATTCCTCTGATAGTCACCAGCGCTTTATAAGGGTTAGCTGGAGACGGTCTATGTTTATCAACAAACCCGGAGACCAGCTGAAACCTGACTCCCTCTGCGGGCCTCAGTTTACATCACAAAACCAAATCACTTAATACTGAGCAAGGCAGCGAGACACCTGCTGGACACAACTGCTCACTGCTGTATAAATCTAAATCTTACAGTAAAAATACCCTCAAGAATTGAGTTGATTTAGCTCATTTTCAATGAGTAGTTTGAACAAGCAGCAGTAATATTTTTTGAGTAAAGTTTTCTGATAAACAACAGGTAATTTGCTCTGGAATTGTTACGGATGGGGTGTGAGAAAAAGGCAGATATGATAGATTTGGATGGGTTTAAAATCACAATTTCTCTTAATGTCCCCCCTGTAAAACAAGAAAAATAGGGAGAACATGGAGTCTAAAATAAACGCTATTCAAGTACTGGAATTTTTTTTTATGAAAAGCCCACTTTGAAGTAATAATTGGTTCTGTGGAATAATATTGTTTTGAGTTTTGAGGAAAATATTAATTTCTGTTTTATTTTTGAAACTACGGATACAATTTTCTTTAGAGCATTTATTTACAGATAATGATAGTCAGAATTTCAATTTCCTAATAAAATAACAATATTTAACAAATAAGAATTCCGGTGACTCGTTACTAGGCATTGGCTAGATTCTGACAAATTCTTTTTTCCCCTTTGAACACAATATATTTCATTTTGAGAAACATTTATGATAGTTTGGAACAGTAAACATGTCAGGCTAAATGATTCAAATGAATTGTTTGGTATGAAACAATAATGAAAAATTATTCAAATGAGTTATTGACTTCTGCTGTCTTCAATTAGTTTCAAAAACACAGATTTCTTCACAATTTCAAACGGCTTCTTTGGTGATTTTTTTTGCTGGAGATACTGTTGTCCTAAAAAACGGGAAAAATTTAAATAAAAATCTTACACATACCTTAGGAACGGATTAGCAGAACATTTTGGCAGTTTTAAAACCTTGAATCTTCCAAACCGTGGTATACCTTGAAAACGGTTATTTTTCCATGCCTACTCGTGACACCCACTATCCTCTGAGGTCATGATAAGCATACAAACATTTCACACAATGGTGCACCGACACCAATAGAACCATATAAACACAGATGTATCAACAACATAAAGGATTGCAACAGTCTAACAACCACATATATATATATATATATATATATATATATATATATATATATATATATATATATATATATATATATATATATATATATATAATTTTTAAGTCATTATTCATTTGTTTAATTTGATTTTAACTAGCTTTTTATTTGTATGTTGTTTATTTGTATACTGTAGCTTTTTATTTTTTTTGTTGTTTATTTATATGTTGTTTTTATGTAACAATTATATACTATTTTTATCTTATGTAGGTTATGGATTTTTAAAAAAAAATTCTAGTAGTTTAATAACATATATAAAATTTTCGCAACCTTCCAGGGGGTCCTGACCCCAACTTTGGGAACCACTGGTTTAAATGATAACATATGAAATTTTGAAAACACACTATAAGTGGTTTAAAGAAATCAATATAAATAAACATTTTACTTAAAAAAATACCTACTAATGGCAAGCCTTTAATACCAACCAACAATAACTTTAAGTTAAGTTTAAGTTAATAAGTGGGCCCTTAAGAACTGTATTTAAACTTGGTATAAAACATTGATTCATTTATTTTCCTTCGGCTTAGTCCCTGTATTTATCAGTGGTCGCCACATCCCCGACTATTCCGGCATATGTTTTACACAGCGGATGACCATCTAGCAGCAACCCAGTACTGGGAAACACCCATGCACACTATAGCGCATGTCTATGGACTTGTGGGGGAAACCGGAGCACTCAGAGGAAACCCTCGCCAACACGGCAAGAACATGCAAACTCCACACGGAAATGCCACGAACCCAGCTGGGACTCGAACCAGCAACCTTCTTGCTGTGAGGGGACAGGGCTAATCATTAAGCCACTGTGTCACCCATTAAGCTACATCATCAGAATAATAATAAAATATATAGAGTGCTTTAGACTTTTTGTACTTAAAATCTCTGAAAGCTGATGTAATACTGTATGTCATTGTATTTGTGTTTCAGATCATCGAGGCCTTCTACAATGAGACGTGGACAGCTCGACACGGGGATATGATCTCTAAAACCACAATGACTACCCTGTGGTCTCTGTCTGTGGCCATCTTCTCTGTAGGTGGCATTGTTGGATCCTTCTCCGTCGGGCTGTTTGTCAACCGATTTGGAAGGTGAAATACATCAATCAGACAACTGATAATGCTTGGAGTATTAAAGGGACAGTTCACTCAATACTGAAAATTGTCATTATTTATCCACACTTTACTTTTTACAAACCTATTTGACTATTTATTTTGTTAAACAGTAAAGAAGATATTTAAAAAAAAAACATTAAATTCCTTAGTATTTGTTTTTTCTACAATGGAGGTCAATGGTTAAAAGTTTCCAACTTTCTTCTAAATGTCTTTATGTATATAAATGAAACTCATTAAGGTTGGAAACCACTTGAGGGCAATTAAATAGTAAATAAATTTTCATTTTTGGGTGAACTGTGCCTTTTAATTATGGCACAGTATTTTACATTATGGCATGATTTGAACTTTTGATTATTAAAATCTGTTTGTTTCTCTGATTTCAGGAGAAACTCGATGCTCATGGCTAATGTTCTAGCTTTCATTGCTGCAGCATTGATGGGCTTCTCTAAGATGGCAGCGTCCTGGGAGATGCTCATTATTGGACGGTTTGTGGTGGGCCTTTATTCTGGTCTGTCCACTGGGTTTGTGCCTATGTATGTGGGTGAAGTAGCCCCTACAGCCCTCAGAGGAGCCCTGGGCACACTTCATCAACTTGGCATCGTTGTTGGCATCCTCATGGCACAGGTACATCCCATCATTTCAGCAGTTTCAGTCACCAATTGACTGTTTTTCCATGTTTAAATTCAACTTTTTTGGTATTGCAGGTCTTCGGTATGGAAGCTATCATGGGAAATGCAACAATGTGGCCATTTCTCCTGGGCTTTACCTTTATCCCAGCCCTGGTACAGTGCTGTTTACTGCCTATATGCCCTGAGAGCCCTCGATTTCTGCTCATTAATCGCAACGAGGAAAGCAAAGCCAAATCTGGTGAGTATGGACTCTTAGCCAGCTCTACACATCCAGATTATTATAAATTAATATTTGTACGTTTTGTTTTAGTTAGTTTCATTAAAGGTTTTGTTTTAGTTTAGTTTTTATGTTGTGAACACATATTTATTTTTTATATATTTAGCTTTAGTTTCAGTTTTAGTAATTCTAGTTAAGCAGATTTAACAGAACACTCTAGTACAAACCTAATAGTTTAAATAATAATAACAAACCTAAAGTAAAATAATAGTTTGAACAGACACTGATTGAACCCAAAACAACACACAAATGCAACTTAAAAATGTAAAGTAAAACTTATGAAGAATTCAGGCAAACCACTTCATATTAAAGATAATTTTTATACTTAAACATGATTTATGTTTTTAGCTAATGAAGAAAATGTGTTTGTCTGTAAAAGCGCTATCTACAGGTGATTTACTTATTAATTCAGATGAGTTTTTCAGTGACAGTTGTTAATTTCAATGAACAAAAATGTTTATTGACCAATAGTTTTAGTCTTAGTTTTATTTTACAAAAATAACCTTGCTACACACGCTTTTAAATGTCCAGGGCAATATATATTATATTACATTACATATATATAATTATATATTATAAATATATATGTTTCCCAGTGAAGGGCATCCGCTGCGTAAAAGATATGCTGGATAAGCTGGCGGTGCATTCCTCTGTGGTTACCCCAGATTTATAAAGGATCTAAGCCAAAAAGAAAATGAATATATATACTGTAGATAGATAGATAGATAGATAGATAGATAGATAGATAGATAGATAGATAGATAGATAGATAGATGGATGGATGGATGGATGGATGGATGGATGGATGGATGGATGGATGGATGGATGGATGGATGGATGGAATGATGGATGGATACAAGGTACTGGAAATATTCCTCAGAAATTTTGGTCCATATTGACATGATAGCATTACGCAGTTGCTGCAGATTTGTCGGCACATCCATGATGCAAATCTTTCATTCCACCACATCCCAAAGGTGCACTATTGGATTAAGATCTGGTGACTGTGGAGGCCATTTGAGAACAGTGAACTAATTTTCATGTTTAAGAAACCAGTCTGAGATGATTTGCGCTTTATGACATTTTGCGTTATTCTGCTGGAAGTACCCATAAGAAGATGTACACTGTGGTCATAAAAGGGATGGACATGGTTAGCAATGAGGCTGTAGCGTTGACACAATGCTCAATTGGTACTAATAGGCCCAAAGTGTTCCAAGAAAATATCCCCCACACCATTACACCACCACCAGCCTGAACCATTGATAAAAGGCAGGATGGATCTATGCTTTCATGTTGTTGATGCCAAATTCTGACCCTACCATTTAAATGTCACAGCAGAAATCGAGACTCATCAGACCAGGCTACATTTTTTCCAATCTTCCATTGTTCAGTTTTGGTGAGCCTGTGCGAATTGTAGCCTCAGTTTCTCGGTCTTCTTTTTTGGACCATTCCCCATAAACCCTCGAAATGGTTGTGCATGAAAATTCCAGTAAATCAGCAGTTTCTGAAATAATCAGACCCGTCTGGAACCTGCAACCATGTGTTCAATCACTTAAATCAGGGGTCTCAAACTCAATTTACCTGGGGGCCGCAGGAGGCAAAGTCTGGGTGAGGCTGGGCCGCATAAGGGATTTCACAAAAAAAAGTCCTCAAATGTCATTATTAACAGTTTTAATTATTTCTTCTGAACATGAAGTGTCCTGAACATTAATAGAACATTGAGTGAAGATTATGAACAGTTCTTCTGAACATGGCATCTTTTGCCTACTCCTTGCTGCCAGAGACTTGACAGCGCTTCTTCTCACAAATCTGAACCACATTTGGCTTTAGAGCGGAAGCAGTTGAGACCCTCAGTATGGCTTGAAGATGATCATCATTAAGTCTAGACCTGTACTTTGACTTATTGAAGTTCAAGGTGGAGAATAACTTCTCACACAAATATGTGCTCCCAAAAAGGCCAAGTCCTAGGGAAAAAAGTGGGGGAACTCACTCAAAACTTCCATTCCCTCACCTAAAAAAAAGGCGTATATATGTATAAATAAAACACCCCCACCCCACTCCAGTCACATCAGTCTGTACCAGTCTGTATCTACCTATAATATATAAGATGCAGGCTGTAGCTAAGTGGCAGGCAGGGGCGGGAACAGCTTACCTTGGTTCTTCCCGCCCGTCACAGCGTCTAACAAAGGGGCGGGGTGCGTGGTGACGTCACCGGCATCCCCGCTCCTTTGTTTACACGGCGGGCGGGGAATGCCAGTGACCGCTGTGTACGGATAGAATCAGCGGAGTGGGAAGCGCTCGCTCTCCCCGCTCCGCTGATTCTGTCAGTGTACAGCGGTCGGCGCGGGCCACAAAATATTGCACTGAGGGCCGTAAATGGCCCGCGGGCCGCGAGTTTGAGACCCCTGACTTAAATCATCTTTTCTCCTCATCTTTCCTCCTCATTCTGATGATCGGTTTGAACTGCAGCAGATCGTCTTGACCATGACTACATGCCTAAATGCATTAAGTTGTTGCCATGTGATTGGCTGATTAGAAATTTGCATTAACAATCAGTTGGACTGGTGTACCTAATAAAGTGGCTGGTGGGTGTATATTTAAATTTTTATTGCAAAGAGATACATTTCACAATAGCTGTTAGACACTTTTACAGCAAATTCTCAAAATTAAATTCCCTAATCAGGGAAAAAACAAGCAACACATCACTTTAAATGATTTTACAATATTTTAAAAACTATTCACAAAAGTAACCGGGCCATTTAAAAAAAGTCCCTAGTGTTTAGCCCTGTGTAAGTTTAAAATTTTAATCATAATGGTCTTAAAAATTGTCTTTAAAAGTCTTTAGCTTGATTTGAAGAAACCCTGATGCCATAAACTTAATATTTTTATGTGTGTTTAGTGCTTAAAAAACTGCGCGGGACGACAGACGTGAGCGCAGACATGCAAGAGATGAAAGAGGAGAGCAGACAGATGATGAGAGAGAAGAAAGTGACCATTCCTGAACTCTTCCGCTCTCCGCTTTACCGGCAGCCCATTGTCATAGCCATCATGCTTCAGCTGTCCCAGCAGCTCTCTGGAATCAATGCTGTGAGTACCTGCTCATGCACTTCACACTGCATTTTAAAAGAACACTTGAATTTAACCTAGTTTATGTCGTTGTGTAGATATTCTACTACTCTACAAAGATCTTTGAGAAGGCAGGTGTGCAGCAGCCAGTTTACGCCACTATCGGAGCTGGAGTCGTCAACACCGCTTTCACTGTAGTATCAGTGAGTATGAGTACACAGACACACTAACAGCACCGTAACAACACCACTGCTAAAATTTTAATCATTATTTTTTCAATTATTTAATAAGTTGATGATATAAAAAGTGATATATTAGTATTGTCAAGTATTGATTATTTTATATATTCAATGCTCAGCATAAATGAGCATAAAAAACACTTTTGAAAATGAATATTTGTATCCATTTCTCAGTGAATATAGCCAATTATTTTTGGTGTATTTAAACAAAACAGCTTTATTAAATAGTTCTATTCATTAAAATAAGTGTCTGGTCATCTAAAGTCTTCAGGAACAGAAATATAATACATTTAAATGCAAAAGTTATTGCAAAAATATTACAAACTAAATTTAATTTTATGTTTCTCTTGATTTCTCCTGTTTATTAATATTTTGTTTTGGCTTTGGTACTGCCTAATGTAATGTACAGTATATGCACAAATATATTATTGTAAAGCATCCTGTAGATTATATAATTTAAAAGAGAGATCTATGAGGGTTGTACTCATTTATGCATAGCACTGTATATGCAGTGTGCGGGATGTTTAACCCGCTGAAATATTTAGTTTCACAACCTTTAGCCAAAAAAAAAAACCTCATGAAGTAAAATATACACCACTTATAAGATAAAACCACACATACATATGCATGTTAAAGTATGTTTTTCAAGTCATAAGATATATTGTATTGTATATAAATGGAGTGTAAATATCACACTGCAAACAAATGCTTTTCTTACTTTTTTCTTACTTACTTTTCTTACTTTAAAAGTCTATGTTCAGACATTTCATAAATAATAAGTTAAATAGTCAGTTATAATCAAACTAAATTTAATCTTGTCTTTTTTTTTTTTTTTTAATAAGATTATTTTGCTTAACCTATTGGCAGATAAGGGAAAACCTACTAAATTTTGACATTTTATTTATTTTTTAAAATATTTTATTTATACGTTTTTTTAAAAGTACAAAACAGAATAAAAACATTTATACAATCTATAATAGAAATGATAAGAAAAAAATACAGAAAAAAATAATTAATTAATTAACAAAAAAAACAAACAAAAATAATAATAATAATTTAAAAAGCAAAAAAAAGAGCACCAGTTCATCCAAACACACATAGTAAAGAGTAAATAATATACACCATTAAGTTTTACTTGATCAAACCCAAAACATTGAAAATGGAGTGGAAAAGTAAGAGTAAAATTGTTCATGAATCATAAGTGCCCTACTATCAACTCTTTAAATAAAATAAGCAAGGAAGAAGCCCCAGGTTTTTTCAACCTGTTTAGAAGCATCTGCCCTAGCAAAATGAATTCTTTCAAGATTAAAAGCAGCAACCATTTCAATCAGCAATTTATGAAAAGTAGGTGGTAAAGTGGACTACCAATCCATCAAGATGAAAAGAATCAAAATGATTTTTTTGCAGTGCAGTAAAAAATAAAAATATGCATAATGTAGTCAAATGCTATATTTATGATAACAATAGAAATGTTATGCAAAATATTAAGTTAATATTATTACTGTGTAACATAATATGAATATGTGTATTTTATTTAATTTTTTTTGCTATTGTTCTATAGTTGTTTGTAGTAGAGCGTGCGGGCCGCAGATCTTTGCACCTCTTGGGACTGCTGGGAATGGCTGGATCTGCTATTCTGATGACCATCGCTATTGCCTTACTGGTATGCAAACACTATTTACTTGCTTGAATGACACAGTGTCAGCATTTACAGGTATTAATCCATCAAGCGGTCAGCCTTGCGGTCCAAAGGTTTTCAGTATATGTGATCTGACGGCTTTATTGTATTTATCTCTATTGCCCAACAGGAAAAATATGACTGGATGTCCTACATGAGCATTGTAGCTATCTTTGCTTTCGTGGCCTTCTTTGAAATCGGACCCGGCCCCATCCCATGGTTCATTGTGGCTGAGCTGTTCAGTCAAGGCCCAAGACCCTCAGCATTTGCTGTTGCTGGATTTTCCAACTGGACAGCCAACTTCATCGTGGGCATGTGCTTCCAGTATGTTGAGGTAAGAGGCTGCTGGGAAATTAGGGTGTTAACTGTTTGAGTTTTGCTACATAATACTGGCTATGAATGCAGATTGCAGTTGAGTCTTTAAATGTCACTTTAAGCTCAATACTAGTATCTTGAAAAATATCTAGTCACATATTATGTACTGTCATCATGACTATAACAAAGAGAGTCTGACAACGGAGGCGAGGATCCATGTGCAGTTTAATAAATCAAGAGTTGTCAGGCAGGCAATGGTTAAACAGGTACAAACAGGAGCATAAAAGGTAATCAAAGGATCGTGGTTAAAAACAGGCGAATGGTCAGTACAGGCAGCTAAAAAACAAGAACGATAAACCAAAGGGTCAAAACACGATAAGACTAGACGAGGGAAACGCTTTGTATTGTTAGCAGAAAAGCAAAACTTAGCCAAGTGTAAGTGTGAGTCAGATACATATGTAGTCTGGTTAATCATGGGGAATCAGGAACTGATGTGTGTGAGGTGCATGATAGTCTTTGTAGTCTAGTTTAGTAATAAAAGTGTAGTTCTCTAGCATTCAGCAAGGATTAAATCGCTGGTAATCTTGACAAAGATAAAATAAATAAAGTTAATAGAAATTAGTAAATAAAACTATTATATTTAGACATTTGTTGAAAAAAATTATCTCCTCTAAACAGAAATTGAGAAAAAAATATGAAAGAATTCAAATTTAACATAAGGGCTATTAGATCTGACTTCAACTGTATAGAAACTATTGAATTTACAGGAAATCTGTTATATTGTGTTATTTATCATTATCAGGATGGGAGATGACTTATAAAAAACTTTTACTGATGTGATTTGCCCAGTTTAACATATTTCCTCTTTGTCCATGTGTTGAACAGGAGGTCTGTGGGGCGTACGTGTTTGTCATCTTCACCGTGTTCTTACTCTGCTTCTTCATCTTCACCTACTTCAAAGTCCCCGAGACCAAGGGCCGGACGTTCGACGAGATCTCCGCCGGTTTCCGTCAGGCATCAGGGGCAGAGAAACACACGCCTGAAGAGCTCAACAGTCTGGGGGCGGACTCTCAGCTATAAACACGCCCCCTCTGGCCCCGCCCACTCCTGCATACAACTACTGAGCTGAAGGGGCCTGTCAATCAAACATTTCTGCACTCGCCTCTTAGTCGTCCCGCAATCCTCCACACACACACGCCGAACCAGCAGAGCGTGAGACTGGGGTTTGAAAAGGCAGCGAGTAAGAGTAATTATCATATTCCTTTTATCAGAAAGATGATCGTTTTATGACATGTTTGAGGTGTCGTATATTTGCATTGCTGAGTCGCTTTGGCTAGATTCATTAGGTTTTATGCTTTTTTTTAAATATACCTTAACTGTTACTTCTGCTGCGCGAAGAGAGAGTACACATCATCAGAGGTCACATGGTCGTTTATGACCAATCCGCCACACTGTTGACGTCAGGAATCCACTGTGACTGACAATTCAATACTGTATTCCAGGTGACTGTATATATTAGACAGAAAAGTCTTGAAAAGTGGCTTTAATGAAAGAAGAGTCTAGCGTCATGATTAGCAATCGAGGCTATTTTAGGTGCACGTCAATTTAAATAACAGGATTCAATTAAATTTATAAATACTGTATATATATATATATATATGAAAATATTTCTCTGGATTTAAAGTTTATAGTTGTGTTTGTGTAAAAATGTTAGTCCGCATTTATTTAATTGTATTTATTTATTTTTTCCTATTTATTTATTTTTCTATGTTTCGGTAACACAAAAATAATGTGTTTGTTAATGTTATTCATTTGAGAAGAGTTAATATATCGATATTTAGAGAAAGATCTCCATGTATAGAGTTAAAGGTCCCATTAAATTAAAGTGTTTTTAGGTATTAGTATCAGTAGTGATAGTTTTTAAGATATCTATAGTGTGCCCCAAAACAGTGACTAAATTCGCTTTTAGAAGATATGAAACGGAAATAAACATGTAAAGCTTGGAGTTTATCACTTCCGCCTAAACGAATCGACAGTTTTATTCATGTCACTTCATACTACAGTTCCTCATCATAACCAATCAAACGCTCTTTAGTATCTGACATGCCCCGCCCCCATTAAGACTCTTCTCACTTGTTTTTTATTTGACGCACTTGAGCTCAACCACTCTCACTGGCAGAGCTGTGATAAAACAAAACACTATTGGCTGTTTTCAAAAAGTGGAGCTACTCTATGTCCCACCCTCTCTTTGTGTTTCGGTTAAGATTATGCCAAACATCGGATAAAAATGCACATTTTAAAGCACTTAACGGGACCTTTAAGATACAATATTTAGAGGAATAATCCCTACTTTCAGTCAAAAGAAATAAAAGCATTTATTATACAGACCAGTTGTCTGTAAAACAAACAAACAAAAAGCTCTAAAATTCATGCACTTATAGAATAAAACAAATATTTAATAAACATTTTACTCAAACACATACCTAATAAATCCAGAGAAACTATAAAAATATCTAACTGTACTAAACCTGAATCATTTAAGCCCTCGTAAATATGATTCATGTACATTTAAAAGCAATTAGCTTTTTTTTAGGGAGTAAACCTGTTGCCATAAATGTGACACGCTGACTTTACTTAAAGTTAGTAAAGTTATTGTAACTTAGAACTGTTAAGTTAACTGAACTTAGTTTTTATAATTAAGCAGTTCATTAACTTGAGGTAATAGGTTTACTCCTAACTTGGAACTGTTAAGTTGACTTAATTTTTTATAATTATGTGCATAGAAGTTCATCTACTTAATTTAAAGCCAATGGGTTTACTCACTTTTGAAGTAGTCAACTAATCACTTTATACAATTTTTGCCATTTTTATGTTTACTTAAAAAGTTAGTAAACTCATTATAATCTTTAGGCAATAACTTTACTCACTTTTTTAAAGTCAATTAATCGCTTTTTACATTGAATCTAATTGTTATCTTAAGTTAGTAAACTCATTGTAACCTAGAACAGTTAAGTTGACTTAATTTTTATAATTGTGTGCATAATCTACTTAATTTTAAGGCAACAGTTTTACCTCAAACAGTTGAAGTAAAGCCAACTAATTGTTTTTACAATGTATCCCATTTTTATGTTGACTTAAAAAAGTTAGTTAACTCATTATTACTTACTGTTGAGCTGTTAAGTAAGGCAACAGGTTTACTCACTTTTTTAAAGTAAAGTTCACTGAACGCTTTCTACAATGTTCTTTTCATGTTGACTCAAAGAAAATTAGTAAACTCATTGAAACTTGACTTAATTATTGTAATTATCCACAGTTTTTTTACGCAAGTCAACGGTTCTAAGTTACAACGACAATATATATATATATATATATATATATATATAAATAACATGCATTGTAAAAAGTGATTAGTTGACTTTACTTAAAATAAGTGAGTAAACCTGTTGCCTTAAGTAAATGAACTATGTGCGTAATTATAAAAATTAAGTTCAATCAACCTAACAGTTTTAAGTTTCAATGAGCACATCGCTTTTACAATGTACCTCATTTTTACTTGGAAACTCTTCTGCATCGCAAGCCTTTTTACAGGGTATTTTATCCCTGCATCCCTATCAGCATGTCCTCTCTTGTTGCCTTTAAGATTCATCACATCTGCGTATTTATATTTTGTAACAAAGTCATGCAGATATAATCCCTTCCTGGACATTTCTCAAGCCGTTTCATTATGTTATACAGCACCAAAACTCATTTTCCCGTATCACTTTTGAATGCACGATGACATGCACTCTTTACTGAAAGTATTAGCAACGTTAATCATGAAGTGCAGCGTGTGTATTTTTATATCCAATAATTCATGATGTCCCTTTTCAGACAGACTCGCTCGGGTAAAGTTTAAATAGCGTTTTGCACAGTCGACTTGAAGAGTTGGGAAACACGGAGAGCGACCAAAATGCACTGTGACCGGTGTCATAATAAGAGTCACTCTGAACCTCAGACCATTGATGATGCTGTCGAGCACAAACCACGTGTCTTTTTGAACATGTTTCGAAGCAGTACGCCTGGCTCCAATGTGCCTTGTCATTTTTTAAGCCTTCTACTTTTGCTCTTATCTTTGGTTTTTCCTTTTTAAACCTACTCATCCATAAGTATTCGTGATTTATTTTTAATTTTACGCACAGCAAATTCACCAAATGAGGTCTTTCACCTTGAATGTGAGCGTGCATATGTTGATGTAATCTGCTGGAACACTGCGCAATGCGTCGGCTTCACATTTGGCCTTTTATTATGTAAATCTGAGTTTTACTTTTAAGTTTTAACCTACTTGGTTGATGTCGGCTTATATTAAATCACCTCTTTATAGATGTTTTTTCACGTCGAGTGTGTGTGTGTGTGCGTGCATGTGATATTTGTCCAGTTTGCCAGAGATACAGCAGGTCAGATCAAGTTTGAACACCAGCATTTTGAATACATATTCACTCTCACTGCATTCCATACGGGAGCATTTTGTGTGTGTGTGTGTGTGTGATGTTTTGTATACTGTACATCAGAAAGAGACAAGTGTGTGTTAGATCATATGCATGTGAACGAGTGTGAAGTCACTGGGTGTGTTGTGTTCAAAGAATATTCAGAAGAGTTATATAAACTTTTTTTAGTCTATGGAAAGTTTGGTGATTTCCGGCTGTAAGTGTAAATAATGAATGTAAAATAGTGTCGCTCGAGAGGCGTTGTAGTTTTATAGCGTGATGATTTCCTGTTTTCATCTGTCATTTTCCTCTTTTTATAATGTAGATTATATTTCTTTTCTTTTTGTTTGTTTGTTTTTTTTTGCTCTGATGCACTATCATGGTAGTCAATACTGTAAGTATACTGTTTTGTTTTTTAAGGCATACTGTATTTATTAGTTCACTTAATTTATTTAGTTTTATTTTATTTTTTTGGCTTTCTGTTATGGAAATAAAACTGTTTTAAAAAACATTCATGAATCTGTGAATGAATTGACGGGCAGCACATTGGGAAGCACAATTGCCTCAAGTTTGCTGATTCGAGCCTTGGCTAGATCAGTTGGCATTTCTGTGTGGAGTTTGCATCTTCTCCCTGTGTGTCGTGGGTTTTCTTCGGTTGCTTCAGTTTCCCTCACAAGACGTGGTATACTGTAGGTGAATTGGGTAGGCTAAATTGGCCATAGTGTATGTTAGTGTGTGCAAGAGCTGTGTGGGTGTTTCCCAGTATTGGGTTGCAGCTGGAAGGGCATTCGCTGAGTAAAACATGCGCTGGATGAGTTGGCGGTTCTTTCCATTGTGGTGACCCCAGATTAATAAAGGGACTTGATCAGTGTGACGATTAGTGTGGATCAGGGCTACAGATGTAGTATTAAGAAATTTAGTTGAACTATTACATCAAATACTTGACGATTAAAGAGAAACATTCATTCATTCATCCATTTTCTTTTTGGCTCAGTCCCTTTTTTAATCAGAGGTCACCACAGCAGATTGAACCGCCAACTATTCCAGCAAATGTTTTATGCAGCGAATGCCCTTCCTGCTGCAATCCAGTGCTGGGAAACACCCATACACATTCTCACACTCATGACACGTTATGCGATTACACATCAACACATTTGTTTTATTAAAAAGTGTTTATAGTAGATTGTGGTGTAAAACTTTTTCCATACACTGCTAATCACACATGCTTTAGCTGAGTTTGTGAACGCGGTAGCCAATCTGAAGAGTTGACATTAGTTTTTGTCATCACAAATTTTATATTAGTAAATTCCCCTTATCGAGAAGAAAGCTTCAGTAATGATAACGGTAAGTCTGAACATGTACCTGCCAATTCATTACTAACAAAGTCCCTTTAGGGCAAGTCATTTCACTCAGCAGCCATCTTTAAATGCCTCTCAGGCAGTATGCTAGGGCATTCTGATTAAACGAGAAAACATCAAATTCTCCAAAACTAATTGACAAGCTTACGATTACATTTCACATTATGAATAACTTATAAAATTAAACAACAGCTGTCTAGTTAATTTCATTTCTAAACGTTCATATCACAAAATCTGCAGAAACTCACGTCTGGTCTGAGCCCTTCCCCCGGAGAAAGAATTGTCATTCTATAGCAATCGCTGATTGGCTCCTGTACTAGAAGACAGGCTTTATTCACAATATAGCAATTGCTGATTGGCTCCTGTACTAGAAGACGGGCTTTATTCACAATATAGCAATCGCTGATTGGCTCCTGTACTAGAATATATGTACTTCGCCATATTGAGTTACACTTTTCCCCATTCAAAAGTCTACAAGTGACATGTCTTGTGTATTCTATAGTCTTTCTTTGTTACTAACCACCATTTAATTATTGAACTCAGCAGGTGTAACGGAGGCCAGCTAGTGAAGTGTTGTGCTGGTAAAACCTCACTCTGACCACTAAAGGAATTCTGGTGACTGACGCCAGAGGCCATGATCTTTAGCCTCCCCATTAGAGCAACCGATTCCCATGCAAAGAGTCATCAGTTCGATCCCAGCTCAGAACAGGAGAGGTGTAGGACAAGCAAGGTTACACATGCACAGGATGTCAACATGATGTCAGATTGACGTTGTACCCCAACATCATGGGGATGTTGCATTTTGTTTAGAAATAAACACCAGGTTGACGTCAAAACTCAACTTCAGGCCGACGTCAACGTCCAACCTAAAATCAACCAAATATCAACATCATTTGACGTCATTATTGGACATCAAAATAACGGTGTCCTTAGACCAAAGGTGTCAAACTCAGTTCCTGGAGGGAGGTCCTGCACAGTTTAGTTCCAACCCTGCTCCAACACACAGTTGAAGTCAGAATTATTTGCCCCCCTTTGGATTGTTTTTTCTTTTTAAATATTTCCCAATTACTGTTTAACAGAGCAAGGAAGTTTTCACAGTATGTCTGATAATATTTTTCTTCTGAAAAAGTCTTAACTGTTTTATTTCGGCTAAAACAAAAACAGTTTTTTATATATATATAAAAAAAACATTTTATGGTCAATATTATTAGCCACTTTAAGCTTTATTTTTCTCGATATTCTACAGAACAAACCAATATTATACAATAACTTGCCTAATTACCCTAACCTGCCTAATTAACCTAATTAAGCCTTTAAATGTTACTTTAAGTGTCTTGAAAAATATCTCAAATATTATTTACTGTCAGCATGGCAAAGATAAAATAAATCAGTTATTAGAAATAAGTTATTAAAACTATCATGATTAGAAATGTGTTGAAGAAATCTGCAATTTGAAATTAGGGAAAAATTAAAGGGGGGGGGGGGGGGGTAATTCAGGGGGCTAATAATTCTGACTTCAACTGTACCTGTAGGTTTCAAACAAATTTGAAGGACTTAATTAGTTTGATCAGGTGTCGGTGTGTTTAATTAGGGTTGGAACTAAACTGTGCAGAGCTGCGGCCCTCCAGGAACTGAGTTTGACACCTGTGCATTAGACACTGGCTAGACATTGAATTTTGGTCACCTGACGTCAAGACCTAAATCTAGCCTGATAGTAATGTCTTAAGTTGCATGTATGTTAAATCTTTCTGGTTTGATGTTGAATGTCTATTTAATATACTGAGTGGTCATAAAATTAATATAAAGAAAATATATGTCATATTTTACATAGATAAGAAACATATGGATAAGAATCTCCTGGTTATGTTAAATCTTTTGGTAGGCCTATTATTAGGCAAGTTTCATATACACAAGTGTAAATGGTTGGAGGGAAGCCTCGCATCTTCCATTTCAAGGCTGATTATAAAATTTATTTTGAAACTCTTAGAGGACTTTCAAGTTATAAAGAAGCCAGAACTGTGAATATACTCCAAAAACTAAACTCTCTGTGGTAATTGTTATGTATAGTTTATCCGCTCCTGTTATTTATTTGTTTTTGTTTTTCTCCTTTTTTTCTTTTTGTTATTTTACTTACAGAAATGATGCTAAAATGTGAATATCCTATTGTAAGATTTGTTATGAATTCG